CCAGACTGTTCCACAGATTTTAAATGTTGGATGTTCTCAGAAAGACATTTATCTGTTTCTTTCTCACTGTTTTGAATAACCTGCAGCAAATTTTCTTCGCATTCTGATTGAAAGCTTTCAGACTGCTCTTTAGATTTTACCCATGAATGTTCAAAAGATTCCCACGATTTTGACTGAATATTTTCAAAATCATGTATTTTCTCCATTTTCTTGTTAACGTCATCTTCCTGCAAGTCTTCCTTGGACCTTGATCGGGACTTTTCAAAATAAATGCTTTTCAAATCATGCCTTTTTTCAGTTTCTTTCTTATTGCTTTGAATGTCATCTTGCAAACTCTCCTTGAATTTTGATTGAAAGCTTTCTGAATGATCCGTAGCTTTTGACCAAGTGTTTACATAATCAGGTTTCTTTTCCATTCCCTTTTCATTGTCTTGGACACCATCCCATACTTTCTCTCTGGATTCTGATTCAGAATCATGGCTCTTATCTGCTTTTACAAACTGAACATTTGCCTCTAATTTTTCCTTAGGTTTTAATTGTGATGTCTCTGAATCTCTGGTTTTAAACTGAATCTTTTCAGTGGCATGTCTCTCTTCTGTTCCCTTCTGAGTACATTCAATATATTCCTTGAATTTTGACCGTGAAATTTCACCGCTGTCCTTGGATTTTGATCGAGAGCTTTCAACAACTTCCTTGGATTTTGACTGCCAGCTTTCAGCGCTGCCTTTTGATTTTGACTGTGAGCTTTCAGCGCTGTCTTTTGATTTTGACTGCCAGCTTTCAGCGCTGTCTTTTGATTTTGACTGCGAGATTTCAGTGTTGCCTTTTGATTTTGACTGCAAGATTTCAGAGCTGTCTTTTGATTCTGACCGTGAAATTTCAGAGCTGCCTTTTGATTTTAACCGTGAGATTTCACGACTGTCCTTGGACTTTGGCCGCAAGCTTTCAACACGGTCCTTGGACTCTGACTGTGAGCTTTCAATGCTGTCTTTTGATTTTGACTGTGAGCTTTCAGTGCTGTCTTTTGATTTCGACTGTGAACTTTCAGTGCTGTCTTTTGATTTCGACCGTGGGATTTCACTGCTGTCTTTGGGCTTTGACCGCAAGTTTTCAACACTGTCCTTGGATTTTGAATGCGAGTTTTCACAGCTATTCTTTAGTTTTGACCGTGAACTCTCACTGCTGTCCTTGGTTTTTGACCGCGAGCTCTCAACATTATCCTTGGACTTTGACCGTGAGCTCCCACAGCTATCCTTGGATTTTGACTGCAAGCTTTCAAAGCTGTCCCTGGGTTTTGACCGTGAACTCTCACCGCTGTCCTTGGGCTTTGAACGTGAGCTTTCAGTGATGTCCTTGGGCTTTGACCTCGAGATTTCACCACTGTCTTTGGGTTTTGACCTTGAACTTTCTGCACTGTCCTTGGGTTTTGACCGTGAGCTTTCAGCACTGTCCATGGATTTTGATCGTGAGTATTCTATGCCACCCTTGGATTTTGACCGCAGGTTTTCAACATTGTCCTTGGATTTCAACCCAAAGCTTTCAATGCAGTCCTTGGATTTTGATCGCAGACCTTCTGCATTGTCCTTCGGTTTAGATCGTGAGCTTTCAGTAATGTCCTTGGATTTAGATGCTGAACTTTCAGTACTGTCCTTTGATTTTGACCATGAGCTTTCAATGCTGTCCCTGGACTTAGACCGTGGGCTTTCAAAGCCATCCCTGGGTTTGGACCGTGAGCTTTCAATGCTGTCCCTGGGTTTTGACCTCGAGCTTTCAACGTTATCCTTGGATTTAGAATGTAAGCTTTCAATGCTGTCCTTAGATTTTGACTTTAAGCTTTCAACAGCATCCTTTGACTTTGAACGTGAGCTTTCAATGCTATCCTTGGATTTAGATCGTGAAGTTTCAGTACTGTCTTTGGATTTTGACTGACAGCTTTCACTGCAGTCCTTGGGTCTTGACTTTGTGCTTTCAACAGTGTCCTTCGATTTTGAACGAGAACTTTCAACTATTTCCTTCAATTTTGATTGAGAGCTTTCAGAATTGTGTCTCCTTTCTAGTCTTTTCTCGTTGCGCCTATCACCATGCAAATCCTCCTTGGACCTCAATCGTGCATCTTCAGAATTCTTTCTTTTCTCTTTACTCCTCACATCTTCCTGAAAATTTTCCTTTAATTTTGACTGAGAGCTATCAGATATAGCTTGAATCTCTTTCACTTTCTCATGACTTCTTGAATCTTCCTGCACTCTCTCTCTGGATTTTGACCAAGAGCTTCTAGAATCACTTCTCCGCTCTTTGCGTTTCACATCTTCCTGCACACTTTCCTTAGATCGAGACCGAGAGCGTTCAGAATCATTTCTCTTTTCCTTGCCTTTATCATCTTGCACAATTTCTTTAAATTTTGCTCGACTCTGCTCAACTTCATTTTTCTTTTCTTTGCTTTTTTCATGGCTTTTAGCATATTCATGCATGTTTCCCTGGAATTTGGTATAAGGGTTTTCAGAATTATTCTGTTTCTCTTTCACCTTTTCACTGGCATTAATGTCTTCTTGAGAGTTTTCTTTGAATTTTGGTCGAATAATTTCAGCTTCATTCCTCTTTTCTTTGTTCTTCTCATGGCCTTTTGTGTCTTCTTGTATATTGTCCCTGGATTTTGACAAAAAGCTTTCAGAATCACGTCTTTTTTCTTTCCCTTTTTCATCACCTTTCTCTTCCTTCACTTTTGAGTGGTCTTTTGGCTTAACATCTTGACTCTGTTCAATTACAGGTGAATCTGAAGAATTAGAGGAAACTGGAGTTTTGTTGTCACTCTTTGACACGATAATATAAAGACAATTTGGAATGGCTTTCTCCTCTGAAGGGTTCCTCAGCTTCTGATCAACATCTACATGAATATTGTCTGCAGAACCACTCTTAGACACCACCACTTGCTCATCACTTTCTTTTATGTGCTTTCCTTCATCTTTCTGCTTAGATAACTCTTTTTCATTCATATTTCCTTCTGATTCAAAGTTATTAAGTTTATTATTTGTTGACACTTTTAATGCTTCCATATCAGAATCTTGAGACGAGGAATTGCTTCTTAGCTGCTTTCGACAAGGCTCACGATCTATTTTCACTTCATTCCTACTCTCATTTGATTGAATGCACTCTGAAAGTCTTCTCATAGGCTTCGATGGCACATCTGAGGATGATGCACTCCTGGAATCTTTTAAAATAGAGGAAGTAACCACCTTCTCTTTGCTCTGAAAAAGAAACTTAAAGCAGAATTTTACGATTAAATTATAAGAAACAAACTATTGCCCTAAAGTGATCAGTCCAATTTTTACAAACACTAAGCTGAACAGAAATATCTGTTCATCTTTTACAGTATAATAAAGATTAACACTGAAATAAAAACTACTTATTTTAAATGATCAAACAATAATAGTGCAGAAAAATATTTTTGCATCACAATGTCCAAATAGGCTGGTTGAATTACTCTATGCAAATTAGATACAAACAGGACAGTAGGAGTAATCTTTCAAAAGCATCCAAAATCAAAATTCAAATGTGTTATCAAATCATAGCATGTAATGCACTCCATCTTCAGTACTAAGTATACAATATCCTTTAAAATTAATCAAATATCAATTTCTACATTGAAGAATAAAACCACTTTTCCTACTTAATTTCAGGACCTGTAGTACATACATTCTTGATACGAGTAATGTGTTTACATATTTAAGCTGCAATATTTTAATTGCTAACCATCACACACCAGAGTAAAGCCAATTATTTCAAATATGCTAAATGATAACTTGCTTTCATATACTACCTCCATTTTAGTCTGTCTTTCTTTAAAGTCTTCTGGCTGTGCACGCTTTCTTTTTCGATCTTCATGCAAGACATGTTCCTCTGATAGGGTTCTGCAGGAAAAGGTAATGTTAAGACATTACGACTAAAAGAAATCAAATGTTTGCAAATCATTTTTTTCAGTCAATGATGCTATTTGACAAAGGGGGGCCTGAGTTAGAGGGATTGCAGTTTCTTTTTAAAAATATAAATTATTAACAACAAGGAACTTAAAAATCGCCTCATCAGCATTAAGATGACATAAACTGGAAGATGGTTACTAAATCAAATAAAAAAGCAGATGCTAGACATCTAAACTAAATCACACAAAATACTGAAAACACTCAGTAGTTCAGTCAGCATCTGTGAAGAGGTCCAACAAATTTGTATTTCGAGTTTGCATCAGGAATTGCATTAGCTTCAGGAATTTTTAAGATTTTTTTAAAAAGCCATTTCAGAGCACTCAAGTCTATGTTCAAATTACAATTGCGTGCAGATGTAAATAGCAACAGTACAGTACCAAATTATATGTTAAAATGATTGTGCTAAAAATGAAATTTCTAAGTTTACCTCTTTTGCCACCAGTTTATTTTTAAGTACTCAGTCTTTATTCCTTTTTACAATTTTAAAATTATATCACTTTTAACTGTTGAAAAGTGTGACATCTACCTTTGTTGTGCTTTTTATATTTCATATATTCCGGCAGTCTAATTTACTTAGTTAAGATGTAACTTCTGATCAGTTTCAAGCTGTCCAAAGGCAGTTAAATTAAATGGAGCAGTGACATTAGAACTAATTATTGAAATACCTTGTCAAATTTATGCAAGGGTAAGTATTTCTAGATTGTGTTCAGGAGAGTTTCCCACAGCAGCTCATGCCTGGTACAACAAGAAACGAGGCATTGCAAGATCTGGTTCTTGGAAATAAAGTCAGCCATGCCCAGCAAGTGTCAGTGGATCTGCATTTTGGGGATAGTGATCATTGTCATAAGCTTTAGGGCGACAGTAGAAGAAGAAAAAGGGCAATCCGGAGTAAGAATGCTTTACTGGACTTCAATGGGGCAAGAACAGACCAAATGGGCAAGAATGGGCTGAATGCATTGAAGGTTGATGGGAAAAACAGTAGTTGAACAATGGGCCACCTTTAATGAGATGGTTTGGACATTGTTGAAGCTTATTCCTTCAAAACAGAAAGACAGGGCAAACAAACTCACCGGATGAGAAAGGAAATACAGATTAAGATAAAGCATGCTTATGATAGCTGTCAAGTAGAAAATATAATTGGCAACCACACTGAGTACAGAAGGGAGATGTAAAAACAAATAAGGATTATGAAAAAACACGAGCAGCTAATGTAAAAAGTTTTCCACAGGCACATAAACAGTAAAACAAAAGGGTGGTGAAAGGAGTAGGGCTGACTTGCGATTAAAAAGGGGATTTGTAAACAAAGGAATGGAGCATAGTTGAGGAGTTAAATGAATACTTTACATCTAAGAGTGTGTGGAAATTGCAGAATCTTTCAATCTTTCTTGTACTAGACGGTGATGCCACAGGATAGAGAATTGCAATGTCCTTGTTCAAAAAAGACAAAGATAAGCCCAACAATTACAGATGAGTGAATACAACTTCAGTGATGGGAAATATCTTGAAATAAGTAGGAACATAGGAACATGCATAGCCCATTCAGCCCCTAGAGCATGTTCCACCATTCAACAAGATCTTGGATGTTCTGTGACCTAATTTCAAACATCTGCCTTTGGCCCATATCCCTTATCACCTTTGCTTAACAAAAATTTATCAAACTTAAGACTTCAAAGCATCCACTGCCTTTTATGAAATAGACTTCCAAACCTCTACCCACCTTTTATGTGTAGAACTGCTTCCAAACACCTCTCCTGAAAGGTCTGACCCTAAATCTCAGGCTATGCCCCCTAGTTCTAGAACCCCTAACCAGTGGGAATATCTACCACTAGTTACCTACCTTGTCTTTTCCTGTTATTACTTTGAAGACTTTGATTAGATTACCCCTAAACCTTCTGAATTCTACAGAAATCAAGCCTAACTTGTAAAATTACTCCTTATAACTTAACCCCTGAAGTCCAGGTAATATTCTTGTAGGCCTATGCTGTACTTCCTCCAAGGCCAACGTATTCGAACTAATTATTTGGTTAAAATTAGTAATCATGTGGAAGAATGCGGGTTAATCAGAAAGAGCTAGCACAGATTTGGTAAGCTGTTTTGAAGAGGTTACGGACAGAGTTGATGAGGCTAATACTGATGAATGTACAAACGAGGAACAAGAATATGCCATTCCACCATTGAAGCTTGCTCCACTATTCAATAAAAGTATGGCTGATCTAAGTTTAACCTCAGTTCTGCATTCCTGCGTATAATGTTCTAAACCCCTGGTAATCAAGAATCTAAAATCTGGTGATGTGTACATGGAATTTGATACAGTGCCACACATCAGACTCATGAGAAAAGTTTAGCTCATGGAAAAAACAGCATAGTAACAAATATACAAAATTGATGGAGGGAAATTAAATGATTAATGAGCAATGATTAATGGATACCTTTCAGGCTGGAGGGAGATTTGTAGTGGAGTTCCCTAGGTTAATTTTAGGACCTTTGCTTTTCCTGATATATATTAATGATCGAGATCTTGTGTGCAGGAGATAATTTTCAAGTTTGTAGATGACACTAAATTTGAAAGCACTTTGAACTGAATGGAGGATAGTGGAAAATCACAAAAGGACATTGACAAATTGGAGTGAGCAGATAGGTCGGAGATTAAGATCAATGCAGAGAATTGTGAGGTGACAATGTGGCAAGAAGAACATGGAGAATCAGTTTCAAAATGCAATCCAACCCTCAAGGTTGTGCAGGAACAGAGAGGTTTAGGCATGAGTCACTAAAGGTGGCAGCACAGGTACAGTGAGCAGTTAATAAAATATACAGTAATCTAAACATTATTAATAGGGGCATAATAATAATAATAATAGGGGCAGGAGGTCATGCCGAACTTTCATAAGACACTAGTTAGGCTCGACTAAAGTATTGTGTACAGTGCTACACTTTAGGAAGGATATGAACACATCAGAAAATGTGAAGAGGTGGCTTACAAGGATAGTTCCAGGGATGACAAATATCAGGTATGAAGACAGACTGCATAAATTGGGACTGTTCTCCTTGGAGATGAGAAGGCGAAGAGGGGATTTTATAGAAGTTTTCGGAATCATAAAGGGATTTCCACAGAAGAATCAAAAATAACAGGGAAAAGATATAAAATAATTTGCAAAAGAAGCAAATGTGATGTGAGAAAAAAAGACTTGTTCATACTTATGCCACACAAATGTCAGGCCATGACCATCACCAATAAGAGACAATCTAACCACAGCTCCTTGACATTCAATGGTGTTACCATCACTGATTCCCCAAACATCAACCATCCTGGGAGTTATTATTTATCAGAAACTCAACTCCACTTGCCACATAAACTCAGTGGCTAGAAGAGCAGGTCAGAGGCTGGGAATACTGCAGTGAGTAACTCACCTCCTCACTCCCCAAAGCCTGCCCACTACCTACAAATCACAAGTCAGCAGGGTGATGGAATACTCCCCAGTTGCCTGAATGGGTGCATCTCCAACAACATAAGAAGCTTGACGCCATCCACACAATGCAGCCACTTGATTGGGACCACATCTACAAACATTCTCTACCACTGATGCTCAAAAGCAGCAGTGAGTACTATCTACAAGATGCACTGCAGACATTCATCAAAGAGCAGCACAGTGATTAGCACTGCTGCCTCACAACACCAGGGACCTGGGTTCAATTCTAGCCTCGGGTGACTGTCTGTGTGGCGTTTGCACATTCTTCCCATGTCTGCGTGGGTTTCCTTTGGGTGTTCCGGTTTCCTCCAACAGTTCCAAAGATCTGCAGGTTAGGTGGATTGGCTATGCTAAACTGCCCATAGTGTCTAGGGTGGGAAATGCAAGGATACGATAAGGTAGGGGGTGGGTCTGGGTGAGATGCTCTTCGGAGCGTAGGTGTGGACTCCATGGGCCAAATAGCCTCAAGCAACACCTTCCAAACCCATGACCCACTTTCACCTAAAAGGACAAGGGCAGCAGATACATGGGAACACCACCAGCTTCAACTTCCCCTCCAAGCCACTCACCGTCCTGACTTGGAAGTATATCGCTGTTCCTGTACTAACACTAGATCACAATCCTGGAAGTCCCTCCCTAACGGCACTGCGTGTCAACCTACAGCGGTTCAAGAAGGGAGCTCACCACGACCTTCTCAAGGGCAATTAGGGACAGGCAATAAATGCTGGCTAGCCAGTGATGCCCATATCTTATAAATGATTCAAGAAAACTGAGCAATTACCATCTAAAACACATCACCTGGACGTATGGTGGAGGCAGGTTCAACAGAAGCATCTAGTAAGGCCATTAGATGATTATTTAAATAAAGACAATATTTAGGGTTATGAAGGAAAGGCAGAGAATGGCGCATAGCCGTTTCAGCTGAGACTGACATAGTACTAGAGATGTACAGCATGGAAACAGACTCTTTGGTCCAACTCGCTCATGCCAACTAGATGTCCTAAATTAATCTAGTTCCATTTGCCAGTATTTGGGCCATAGGCCTCGAACCCCTTCCTATTCATATACCCATCCAGAAGCCTTTTAAAATATTGTAATTGTACCAACCTCCACCACTTATTCTGGCAGCTTATTCCATACACACACCACCCTGTGCTTGAAAAAGTTGCCCTGCAGGCGTTTTTAAAATTTTTCCCCTCTAACCTTAAATGTATGCCCTCTGGTTTTGGACTCCCCCACTCTGGGGGGAGAAAAAACCTTGACTATTAGCCCTATCCATGCCCCTCATGATTTTATAAACACCGACACTCCGGGAAAATAGCTCCAGACTATTCAGCATCTCCGCATAGCTGAAACCACAAAACCTGGCAACATTCTTGTAACTCTTTTCTGAACCCTTTCAAGTTTCACAACATTCTTCCTATAGCAGGGAGACCAGAATTGAATGTGGTATTCCAACAATGGCCTAACCAATATCCTGTACAGCCACAACAAGACCTCCCAACTCCTATACTCAACGCACTGACCAATAAAGGCAAGCGTACCAAACGCCTTCTTCACTATCCCATCTACCTGCAGCTCCACTTTCAAGGGACTATGAACCAGCAATCCAAGGTCTCTTTGTTCAGCAACACTCCCAAGAACCTTACCATTAAGTGTACAAGTCCTGCCCTGATTTGCCCTACCAAAATGTAGCATCTCACATTTATCTAGATTAAACTTCACCTGCCACGCCTTGGCCCATCTGATCAAGGTCTCGTTGTACTCCGAGATAACATTCTTCGCTGTGCGCTACACCACCAATTTTGGGGTCATCTGCAAAGTTACTAACCACACCTACTATGTTCACATCCAAATCATTTACATAAATGACAAAAAGCAGTGGACCAGCACCGAACCTTGCGGCACACCGCTGGTCACAGGCCTACAGTCCAAAAAACAATCCTCCACCACCACCCTCTGTCTCCTACCTTTCAGCCAATTTTGTATCCAAGTGGCTAGTTACTTGATTGTCCAAATGGCCTCTTTCTGCAATGGAATGATTCTGAGATCCTGCAGGCTAATATTCCTCATGTACACTAGGAGTCATTTTATCAGTTATCCAAGGAAATTTTCTTTCTCAGACAATGCCTGAAGAATTATTATACCTTAAATCTCCTTTTCTTTTTCTTCTTAAGGCCACTTTTTTCTCCAAGACTTTTTGTTCTTTTAAAGTTGCTTTATTTACTTTAGAATTTAAGGCAGCTGATTGTTGCATTTTCCTCGAATTAATCACAACGTCCGAATTACTATCAATACCTGAAATAAATATTAAGGAAGAGCGTGTATAGAAATAATTAAAATGTAATCTTCAGGCACTTTGAAGAGATAAGCCTCTCAAAATTTAATAAATACGCAAGGACAAAGCTAACATTGAAGGATCACAATGTCAAAGGACCAAATAGCAGTTCTTAGCATATTTAGTCTCGTGTATTTGGTTTTCAGCTAAGAACATGGAAGCACATTGCTTAATTCCATTTTAGAAAAGTTCTGGATATAGTCTGTTTGCTCTGACAAGAAATTGACGAAACAGGAAGAAACATTTACAAGTTTACAAGCACCACTAACAGGAATATTTTTCATCAAGTCATGATATAACAAAAAGACAACTTGTAAATCTTGATAAACATGACTTTAAATTAATTTCCATACAGTTCTAACTAACGAGAAAAGACAATGTTTTCAACACTGGTTGAAGCATTCAATTTATTCCAGAGCCTTTAGCCAGTTTGATGGGGTTATTGATTTCAGAGGTTGCTGTGTGCAGGGAATTCTCTGATAAGAAAACAGGAATATGAGTACACTTTTGAGGGAAAAATTCCTAAACAGTTTGACAACATACATTTTAACTGAGTGCAAGTTCATAGTTCCTTGAAAGTGGAGTGTCAGGTAGATAGGATAGTGAGGAAGACACTTAGCATGCTTGCCTTTTATTGGTCAGTGCATGGGGTGTTGGAGTTGGGAGGCCATATTGTGGCTGTACAAGACATTGATTAGGCCACTTCTGGAATACTGCATGCAATTCTGGTCTCCTTGCTACAGGAAAGATGTTGTGAAACTTGAAAGGATTCAGAAAAGATTTACAAGGATGTCGCCAGGGCTGCAGGGTTTGAGCGATAGGGAGAGGCTGAATAGTCTGGGTCTATTTTCCCTGGAGCGTCAGAGACTGAGGGGTGACCTTATAGAAATTTATAAAATCATGAGGGGCATGAATAAGGTGAAAAGCCAAGGTCTCTTCCCCGACAGTGGGGGAGTCCAAAACTAGAGGGTATAGGTTTAATGTGAAGGGGAAAGATTTAAAAAGGGACTTGGGGGGCAATTTTTTCACGCAAAGGGTGGTGCGTGTATGGGATGAGCTGCCAGACTAAGTGGTAGAGGCTTGTACAATTACAAAATTTAAAAGGCATCTGGATGGGGTATATGAATTGGAAGGGCTGAGGGGGATATGGGCCAAATGTTGGCAAAAGGAACTAGATTCATTTAGGATATCTGGTCTGCATGGACGAGTTGGACTGAAGGGTCTATTTCCATGCTGTACAACTCTATGACTCTATGAAAGATTTTGTTAATAAAAACACATTAAACCAGATTTAATTGTTTGGGAAATATGCAATAACCATTTAATGTTTGAGAGTAAATGCATAGCAAGTACACCATTTGCAACTTTGAATTAAAGAGTTGACTACCTTTTTGCAGTGTTTGGTGATATTCTTCATCACTGCACCTTTCTTTTGGTGGTCTGTCTTTATCAGTTTCCACCTGTTTATGCTTATCATCTCCCCTTTCCCTGTTCCACTGCCGCCTGAGTAACCGCTCTGCTTTTTCCTTTGCCTGCGTAAATAGATGGTAACAGCATTTCAATTATATCTAGTATGCAAAATACATAGCTCTCAGTGATGGTTGAAAATTCCCAGGTGAGCTCTATCATTCCCTCATAAATTCTGTTCATAGCAGTGCTTGTTACATGGCTGCCATCTGATTTTATCATTTGTTTGGATATTTTGGTACTTGGTATTTGGTTTGTTGTAATTGTTATTTACGATTCATGCCATGCACAGTAAGTGTACAAAATGCTTTCTTATCAATGGATATAGACTTGTATTCCAAACTTGTTGAAAGGGAAACCAGTAATGCTTTGTTGTTGAGCATTTGAAGCTCAAGCATAAATTAGTTTTAAATTAAATATGTCTAGCACAATTTAACTGGTTCCAGATGTCATGAGATTGGTATGAAAAAAGCATCTGTAGCATTCATGGTTCCTATACTTCAGTTTGCACAATCCTAGATTAATATCCCAGCATTACTTTCCAAATATTTCTCAGTAATGCAATGAGAAATAAGTCACAGACGATGAGTGAATTTCACAACGGTTATCTCACAGAGGAACAGATGGAATGCCAAAGAAAGCAGCTCAGAAGCCGGAAATCAGATAAAAACAAAGTGCTGGAAATCTCTCAGGCAACATTCATGGGAAGAGGCAGAGTTAACTTTGCAGGTCTAATATCTTTTGCCTGGGAAAACCTGGAGATATAACATGTTTTAAGCGAGTACAAAGACGGGGACATGGGTACAGTGGGGGAGGAGAACAAAAGGGAAAGTCTGTTCAGTCCACAGGCATAACCGAGGGCTTCTGGCTACTGTCGTTGTGATTCATCTTCTTATTCTGAATTCTTGTCCTTGATCTTAAGAAACAGCATCTCATCTTTCCATGAGGCACTTTACATCGTTCTGGACCAGACATCAATTTCAACAATTGTAGAACACGATCTCTGCCCTTTTTTAATCTTATGGTAGCTGTTGGTGATGATTTTGAGATTTGCTTTTATACGTCCACGAGACACATCATTTATTTCCTTACTTGTCGCCTGGTGTTGTGATCCATTAGCATGTTTTTGCCTCACATCACTTATCATCAGCTAACTTCCCTAGACTTCCATCCTATCATAGGCTTTCCCTTTCGTACTATCCTAGTACTCCACAACTTTGGTACATTTCTAACATTCCTAGCTCTGGAAAAAAATCATCAACCTGAAATTGCAACACTATTTCCCTCTCCACAGATGCTACCAAACCTGTTGAGTACTTCCCAATATTTTTATGTTTCTGTTAGACTGGAATCCCTGTTTGCAGACAAAGTGGCTGAGAATGATTAAACATGACAGTGCAATAACCAAATCAATAAGAGATAAAATAATAAATTAGCAAACCACTCCAGGTCTGCAACAAATTGAGCTCATTGTCAAAGCCAGTTATTTCATGAAATCAATTACCTAACATACAAATAGCACAAAAATAAAATATAAACTTCAGTCACTTCATCTAATTGTCTCATTCATTCCACACCCCCTAATTCAAAGTATAAATTTTCAAACTAGCAACAGGAATAAGGAATAGCTCAAACTTACGATTGACTGTCGACGTTGAACTACCGTTTCTTCATCATCCGAATCACTATAATACTTTGAATACAGAAACGGTTTATGGACGTATGGATGTCGTACAGGTTTTGCTCTGCCCTCCTTTTGTTCCTCATTTGTTTCCAATTTAGTATCTTTTTCTAAATAAAGATAAGATTTGATGAAAGCCTGCACAAAATTATTTACTTTATTTTCTCTTCAGCTTCCTGACTCCATCAGCCTCAGCACAATATACCATACTCATGAGATGGTTGAACACAGAGCAGCAAGCCACTGTTTTATATCGGAATTGACCCTCATTAGCACTTTCATCAGACGTGCTGTCTCTTTGAGTGAAGGGATTACCACGTGGTGGGTGCTTAATTTCAGGTGTTCCCTAACTAATGACTTGTGACAACAAATTATTTATGCATCTAATAACTTGAAACTTATTGTTATCAATTAAATGGATTTTGGCATTCTTGCTTACATACAATTACTGATGCAGTATGTCTAAAATGCATAATATACCACAATATCTTTAAGGACATTTAAGGGATTCAATTTCATGTGTGAATGTGCTACTATTTAATGTGAAAATGGAAATTTTATACACTACTCTGTACTGTCGATATGCTTTTGATTTCTATTGGCAGTTGCACATGCAAAATTGATTGTACAAGTTCATGATCAACTCAACAGATTATTTTATCACTGTGAGGAGAGGAGTAACAGTGTACATATCATAGAATCCTTACAGTGTGGAAGCAGGCCTTTTGGCCCATCAGTACAAAAGATCCATCTCTGGCTTGAAAGGCAAGTTGAGGATATTATTAATTCAAAATCAAAGCTTATATTGTTACAAAGGTTACTAAGCCTGAGGATCAGAGTGTTTTCAAAGTCGGCCAAGGATGTCCAAAATGCTGAAAAGGGATAAAAAGAATGAATCTAAACTAGTAAGGTAAATAAAAATTGATTGCAAGAGCTTTTATGAGTATATAAAAAGAATAAGGATAATTAATGCAAATATTGGTCCGTTAGAGGCAAAGACCAAGTCGAATGTACCCAAGTTTGCTGAGGATACAAAGCAAGTTGGAATGCAAGCTGGGAGGAAGAAAAATGCTGCAAAGAGATACAGAAAGGTCAAATGAGTGGGCAGCAAGTTGGCAGATGGAGTATGCAGTTTGAAATTCTTTATCCAAAAACCTCAGGACCAACTGTTTTTCGGATGAAGGATATTTTTGGTTTTCAGATATCATAAGACCATAAGCTATAGTAGCAGAATTAAGCCTTTCAGCCCACAAGTCTGCTCCACCATTCAAGTATATCCGATATACTTCTCAACCTCATTCTTCTGCTTTCTCCCCGTAATCTTTGATCTCTATACTAATCAAGAACCAATCTTAAAAGCACTCAATGACTTAGCTTCCACAACCTTGTGACAACAAGTCTCACAGATTCATCATTTTCTAATTGAAGAAATTCCTTCGCATCTTTGTTTGAAAGGGTTTTCCATTTACTGTAAGGTTATACCTCTGGTCCTAGTCTCTCTAACTAGTAAAAACATCTTGTCTGTGTCCACTTTATCTAGACCTCTCATTTTTCGGTAAGTTTCTGGGAGATCCTTCTAAATTCTATCAAGTACAGACCCGGAGTCCTCCACTGGTCCTCACATGACAAGCCTTTCATTTGCAGGATCATTCTTGTTAACCTCCTCTGGACCCCCTTCAACGCCAGCACATCTTTCATTAGATGCGGGGCCTAAAACTAGTCACAAAATCCCGAATCGGTCTAACAAGAGCCTATACAATTTTGGTAACAAGAAATAAAAATGTTGAGAGACACTATTTTAAGTGCTTTATTTATTCCAAAAAAAAAGTCAGATTTTTGAAAAATATATATTTGCTTATGAAAACAGTTGAGGTAACTTATCCAAAGCAATCAGAGAAATACTTAGTCATAAACAACCTAATGTTTAAATAACTTGACTGAGTTATTAAATATTTTTGTGCTGAGGAAACAGAGGAGGTAATGCAGTTAACATGCTGTAAATGAACTTGCAAACAGTGTTCGATGAAGTCCCAAATCATATGGTTTTCAGGAATAGGGTTAAGGTAAGCATGTGGAATAAAACAGAAACAAAGTTTGTGAAACGAAAAGGAATAGCATTGATAAATGGTTGCTTTAGCAACTGAAGAAAGGTATACAAGAGATTCCCAGGGTTCAGTACTAAGATCATTGCTATTAGAATTTATCAATGATTTAAACCTGGGGGTACAAGGCGCAACTTCAAAATTTGCAGATGACACAAAAGTTAGGAGTACTTAACTGTAGAATAGCAAAAGAATTCAAAAGCACAAACGGGTTGATGAAATGACCAGACTGATGTGAGTTGCAATTTAATGCAGATGACTGTAAAGTGACATATGTGGATACAAAAGATGAGGAGAAACAATATAAACTAGGAGGTACAATTCTAAAGGGGGTGCAGGGACAGAGAAACCTGTGGGTATGTGTGCAGAGATCACTAAAGATGGCAGAGTAGGTTCCTGAGCTCACAAACATATAGGATCCTGAATCTATAAGTAGAGTCAGCACAGTACAATACCAAGAATATTGGAATAATATTTCTAAAATAAAAATTGATTTGCTTTAACTGGTGCATTGTTTTCAGTTCTGGGCACTTTGTGAAGGATGCAAAGGTTTTTCGAAGGTGCAGAAAACATGGTTCCAGGGATGAGAACCTTGAGTTATGTAGAAAAACTGGGAAGTTTAGTGTGGTTATTTTTAAGAGAAGTAGAGATTTGACAGATTTGTTGAAGATCATGAAGGGCCTAGACAGAGATATAGATTTAAAATGATTGGCAGAAAAATCAAAGACGATAGAATGAATGACCTTTTTTAATACAATGTGTGGTTAAGAAATAGAATGCAGTTCTTGAAAAGGTGGTGGAGACAAATTGAATTGAGGCTTTCGAAAATGAGAACAGGGTAAACATCTGAAAGAAAGAAAATGCAGATTTCAGAGAGGACAGGGAGTGGAATTATAAATTGCTTTTGTAGAAAGCCAGTGCAGATCAAATGGCCTCTTTCTGTGCTGTCGTTATTTGATGACACTACTGTGCGTCTTTACCAATGCTATTTTTTCCAGATGCAAAATGTTTATGATATAAAATTTCCTTAATGACTCTCCTTTTGATATTAGCAAAACCTTTCTGCTATTTTAACCCAAGTGGTGAATCTAAGCAAGACTTACTTTGACATAAATTCTATTACATACGAAGTAGTTCTTTATAAGATCCAACACGTTTTCAAAGTAAGGTAATTTTTAAATCAGTTTTACAATCTTACTTTAAATTTATGGAGTTACATGATGTAATACTCAAGCAATAAAATCAGAAAATACTGAGACTACACATATGTTCTTTCAAAATAAGCTGATTCAGCTTTGCACAGTCCCCGAAACAGGTACTCAAGAACAAGCTGTGACTAAAATAAATATTATTTAATTTTCAGTTTTGATGGATCATCTACAGCTAAAATATTAACTTTTGCAGGCTGGTGTTCATGAACTTGAAGGTGAAATAAATCATCCCTTTGCACTTATGCTGCGACTACATAGCTTAATCTTTTGTTCATCTTGGCTCACATTAAATCCAATGAACAATACAAAGTATTGATGATAGATGCAGTACCTTCTGAACTTTGATCCTGGTCTTCTTCAGTGCTGTCAGAAGCCGCAACTTCACCCTCCTCCTCTTCATCATCATCCACATCAAAAGACGACAGATCACTGGTATGGACTGAACTAACAGTGATGTCACTGAGGCCTTCAAAATCAGAATCGTCCAAAGAATATTCTGAAAAATGACAAAGTAGTTTAACTTTAAAATTCCAACAATGTGAAATTTCTCTTAGAAACTAATTTCCAAAAAACTTAGCTGGATAGCTTTGTATTTATCTTGTCTTCTGCTTCATCTTTCCCTCAATTACATTTTAAAAAACTGTAAATGTAAACCACCTTCCTGGAGTAATGGACAGCAGATAATGTATTATACTGGTATTGCAACCAGTCATGGTTCTGAAATGCTAAAATTTAGTACTCTACTCATTTTACAAAGTAACTAACTATGCAGAGGATCTCCAATATGGGGTAGGCCAGTTAAAAGGCAACAGACATAAAGTGAATTTGAGCAAGAGGCAATGGCAGAAGTGAAACACACCAGGTTTTTACACAGTTGATGGATACAAGATTGTAGAATTTCCAGAGGTGGGTGTACAGGTAATATTGGAGGTTAATGTTCATGGAGACAAATCACAGGAACTTGGATTTACATCCAGTATGCCAAAAAAGAAATAATGAAGGCACCAACTAGAATTTTCCAGAAGTTTACAGAATAGAAAATCGAGCTCAAGAGTTGCAGAGTGCCTGCTCTGACTCCTCAAAATGAACATAGCAAGAAGGAACCAGAAAATTATAGGCCAATTAGTTATTCAGGGACAAATAGCATAGATTTCTAAATTGCAGGTCAAGTTTGAGCAATTTAATAATTATTTGCAGTAGTAGATGTTAAAAAAAAAACAATGAATGTAGCTTGTCTGAATATTCAAAAGCATGGAATAAGGTATCACATAAAATACATGTGGCAAAGCTAACAATACATGGAACTGAAATGAACGTCTCAGCATAGATCAATATAGCGGGTAGACAGAAAGAGACTAGTATAAAAAGAACCCTCTCAGATCAGAAAGACATGAGTGTCATATTATAAAATGTGGGTGGTGATGAACTCTTAATTGCCACCAACACAAACAAAATAAACTCAAGGGGCAATAAGACTATAGTCAAATTATGGGTTAGTAGCATAATCATAGACAATCATAGAATTCCTACAGTGTGGAAAGCAGGCCCTTCAGTCCAACAAGTCCACACCAACCCTCAGACATCCCACCCAGACCTATCCCCATGTAACCCATCTAATCTACACATCCCTGAACACCATGGTAATTTAGCATGGCCAACCCACTCAGCCTGCACATCTTTGGACTGTGGGAGGAAACTGGAGCACCGAGAGGAAACCCACGCAGACACAGGGAGAATGTGCAAACTCCACACAGACAGTCGTACAAGGATGGGATCAAACCCGGGTCCTTGGCACCGTGAGGTAGCAGTGCTAACCACTGAGACACTGTGGCAAATATTAAAAAAAATTAATAAATGCAATGATAAGTAGATGGACCAAATTAAAGATTTAGTTTTAAATGTTGGTTGTAAGTGTAGATTCTGAATTTCTCTTTATAAAACATAATTGATAATTTTAGTGAATCTCTCCTGCAGACTTCAATGTCTTTTATTTTAGAAAGGGTGCATTAATTTATTTTCATGATGGGTTTACCTGCCTCTTAATCAATTTATGCGCTACTTTACAGTTAAGCAAGTTCCAACTTGCAAAAATTAATTCTATGCCTCCTAGATCCAAGTCTAGATCACTCATAGAGAAGGAAAATGAGTTAAATGCTAATGGCTAGGTTTCATTACCTTTACATCTCTCCAGTGTTAAAAATATTCATTAATCACTGGTCTGGTTTCTGTTCTTTAACCAACTCTCTATCCAGGCGGCCATCATGTTCCCTTTATTACTGTGCAGATTAATTATTAATTAGCAAACTTCCTACTTCACACTTCAAATGTCCTTTGAAAATCACAGACATGAAAACCACTGCATTTCCTTCATCAATAGAGTGTTAATTCGTAAACAGCTGCATTAAATTTCTCACACCTTGTCTTTCACATGTCAACTATCCTGAATGAACTCCTGAGCAGATGTGTCACTTTGGGAACCGTGCATCAAAAAATGATTGAAAGATAAGGTAAAAGCTCATTTCTCGTACAACTCTCCTTAGTATTCTTTGACGGATGCCATCAAAGTCCACTTAGTGCCACTGCTGGAGTTTTATTAATTTATTTGCAGCATCTAAGCATATCTACGTCAAATAGCCTCACAACAATTTGCGTCTCCACCTCAAACTTTATTCACAATACGTTGCATAGTTAAACATATGAATAATTGAACCCCTCCTGTTTGGTAATACTTTATTATTGTAAAAATTATTTGTTAGAAATAATCAGTGCAGATATATCAACAATTAATCATTAATTAACAATTCTGACTGCACTGCCTTGTAAAGCAATATTATGTACATGGGAAAGATAGATTTTGAGATATATATTGGCAGAGCATGTATCCACTTGAAACGCAAAGACGCATACTTAAGTAAACCAAAGGATATGTACAAAATTATTTGTGAAATTTGAACAAATTCAGTTTTTCTGTACACATTGACTCAAACCTTTTTAAATTTTCAGTCTAGAAAATAAGCTCTACATTTTGTTGTCCCCTTGTATTTTAAAGCATGGTTTAGTTATTAGGTATTCACTGGTATTTTACCGATTACCTGCTATAGTCGCATGCACGTTAATCAAAATGCACACTGAGTTATAAAAATGTCTGCTAGTGCAAACCAGAATAAAGAATTCACATTACCTTTCTTCAAGTTTTCCTTGGCTTTCTGCTTAATAGTCAGAGCTGCAGTGATGTATTTCACAGATTCACATTCTTTTCCCTTTCCTCTTCTTTCCTCTTTTGAAAGTCCAAAATATTCATCCCTTCTTAAAACAACCACATCCTTCTTATCCACCTTATCAATTTTGTCTTTTATTGCGTTCATATCTTCAACACATTCCTCTATGATCTCAGATGTTTCCTTCTTTTCCTCAAAGTCCTTCTCAGGCATCAAAACATTAATTGAGCCTTCTGACTTAGAACAAATCCTTCCATCGTCTATTTTGGTTTCTAATACAAGCTTTTCTATTTCTTCAGTAGTGTGATCTTTCTCCATTCCCAAATCAAAACTTTGTTGAGTCTTAAATTCCGAAGTAAGGTTTTTCTTGGAGCTCTTTTCCCCATTTTTATTAGATGCATTTTCTACTGTAGACCTGGCTGCACTGGCTTCCTGATTAAGTGAGGTTATTGTGTCCAGAATAGAAAGAGCATCATCAGCTTTGCTTGTACTCGGACCACTAGACGAAAGACCTGCAAGTTGAAAACACTAAGTGTAATCCAATGGTATTGGAAATGATAAAATTATATTTAATGCACCACATAAATAATTTTAATTGTTAAGAATATTGTGAATTGGAAAAAAAAGCAGTAATTGAAATACAGCATTTAGACTTGTATGCTGCAGAAACTTCAGTTAAGTACAGGGAGACCACCTATTACAAACAACAATTATTTGTTATCACAATCTAAGAAAAAGTTATGAAAGCTGCATGTTATTGAACAGAGGGAGCAGCAGTTAAAGGGCACTCAGAAGGAGATGATAGAACACGCAGCACCATCTTATCCATTTTTCCTCCCAGCTATCATAAATGGTATGATTATTTAAGGTTGCAATGCGTTTCTGTACTGGCCAGGCAACAGAGTCACCAGGAAAAGATGAAGGACTAGAGGTGTGCCTCATCTTGCGCTTTTCACTCTGCTGCTAGAGCAGTTGATGAAACTAGACGGCACAGAAATAAAGTAGCCTGTGGCTGATGGTAAAGTTTAGCCTCGAGGCAGTCTATGGAAGGGACATTAAACTTTCTAGCAAGGAAGAACTATAGGGTAAAATACAACAAAGAACTGCGGATGCTGAAGATCTGAAACAAAAACAGAAATTGCTGGAGAAACTCTGCTTTCTCTTCACAGCTGCTGCCAGGCATGCTAAGTTAATGTTTCTGAAAAAGCAACACTACAGTTAATGTCGAATCAGAGATAGTAGGAACTGCAGATGCTGGAGAATCCGAGACAACAAGGGGCAGGGCTGGATGAACACAGCAGGCCAAGCAGCATCATAGGAGCAGAGAGGCTGATGTTTCGGGTCTAGACCCTTCATCAGAAAAAAAAAACAGTTAATGGCTTATTCTTGAAGAAAAAAAGGATAAGTTGTAAGACCTTCCAGAGTCTGGTGCTCTGATGTTCAAGCAAATGTGGTCAAATCACTAAACTTGCACAAATGTCTCTGAATTCTGGCAGACACAGTTTACTCAGGAGAGATGAGTAACAAGATTACTTCCAACTCAGCTTCCAAATGAATCAAATAAAAAAGAACCTTTTCAAGCTAGTTACTGTTCAAACCCAACCCTAACTGGGTCAAGAACAAAACAAGAGGTTATCACCAGTTATGTGATTTCTAGGAAGCCGTATGGGAAAAAAAAAGGCAAATGTCCACAGTCTCCTTTCAATTACCTCTCAAGGAAAACCACTCCACTTAGGTTACAAAACTTGGAATGAAATCCTTTTTCCACAGTCTTCCGAGCAATATTACATGTGAAGTGTCTTCGTAATAGTAAGACTTATGACACCATTAAGAATTCATTTACTTGAATAGACAAAACCTAACCTTTTCTGGCATGCTCCGCGAATATCTATATCATAAGTACTCCAAATTCACACTCTTCCATAAATTTAAATGCTGAGCCTCTCAAGGACATATTGTAAAGCTCCAGGAACAGCAGAACAACTTAGATAGCAATTCCATAATTTCTACATCTAACAATGCATGTGTAGTTGCTAGAACGGTTTGATTTATTCATTAACACCAGCGAGCAATGATAGCATCACCATTATTTTTATTCCGAAGTCCAGATTGACCATCAAAGATGGAAGCATCATCTATAATAACACTATGGTTATAGGAATGTTTATTCACAAGATTCTGAAAGGTTCTTCGGATTCATCCAATTGAACCATGTTATTTTTGTAAAATAATGCAAACCAGGCAGGATTTTTGTACACAAGCATTAACATTATTAGAGATACAATTCAATCACTAAGATAACATTTTACTCAAAAGATGGTTTACATTTACCTGCATGGGTGACATCTCTGATCACCTTAAATGCAATGCACCGCTCATTTCTTTCTCTATAATTTGCAGTTTTTTAAAATCATTTTTCATTTTTTGAAATAGCTTATACTAAATGCATAAATCCCAACTCTCAAGACAGTAACATTTCATCAAAATGATAAATGATAATATACTGCTCATGAATCAAATAGAGATCTTTGAAAACCACCTTTTGGATGAAACAATAAGGACCAACCAGGTTAGTTCTTCAGGTAGTACCTGGAGTTGTTGGCTCTGACTTCTCAGAGTTCGGCACAAGACTCACAGCAGTAGGCTCTTCTTTCCGATCCAAAGTTGCTAAAAACTCATGAACGGCTTTCTCAACCTGAGGCCGGAATATGTGATTTATCTTTGGATCCACAACTTGAGAAATGATCCTGTCAACACCAACCTCCAGCATACCTGATCTGTAAAATTATAAAAGATGATTTCCCAGAATAATCTAATACAATGTATTATGCATAGCGCCCATTGTTTTCATGCTTTTAGTTTTAATAAATCAAAGTGTACGCACGTTTTCAATCACATTTCCTAATTAAAACAGAATAAAAATATTCATATGTCCTCATTAAACATGAAGGCCACTAGCAATGCAAGCTACATATGTTTAGATATTCTCGCATCAACCTGGGGAGTGTTGCTTAACAAAGAGACCATGGAGTGCAGGATCATAGTTCCTTGAAAATGGAGCTGCAGGTAGATGGGATAGTGAAGGCAGCGTTTGGTACACTTGCCTTTATTGGTCAGTGTTTTGAGTATAGGAGTTGGGAGGTCATGTTGCAGCTGTACAGGACATTGGTTAGGTCACTATTAGAATACTATGTGCAATTCTGGTCTCACTGCTACAGGAAGGATGTTGTGAAATTTGAAAGGGTTCAGAAAACACTTATAAAGCATGTTGCCAGGGTTGGAGGGTTTGAGCTACAGGGAGAGACTGAATAGCTGGGGTTATTTTCCCTAGAGCGTCGGGGACTGAGGGGTTACCTATAGCGGTTTATGAAATAATAAGGGGCATGGACAGGGTAAATAGACAAGGTCTTTTCCCCGAGGTGGGGGAATCCAAAACTAGAGGGCATAGATTTAAGGTGAGAGGGGAAAGATTTACAAGGGACCTAAGGGGTAACATTATCTCGCAGAGGGCGTTGCATGTATGGAATAAGCTGCCAGATGAAGTGGTGGAGGCTGATACAATTCCAACATTTAAAAGGCAGCTGGATGGGTATACGAATAGGAAGGGTTGAGAGGGATATGAGCCAAATGGAACTAGATTTATCAGGATATCTGGTCAGCATGGATGAGTTGGACTGAAGGGTCTGTTTCTATGTTGTACTTCTCTGAGTCTAGGGCCCTAGATGTTATTACACACCTCTGGAGCGGGTGCAACTTGAACGTGGACCTCCTGGCTCAGAGGTAAGGTCACTACAACTTATCTATTTTCATGCAAAATATTTTCTTTATGGATTACATTACAGTGCCAGCAAAATCATTTCAATAATACGTGAAAAAGATTTTCTGCAATGTCTTTAATAAAAAGCCACAATGTGGAGGTGCCAGTGCTGGACTGAGGTGGACAAGATCAGAAGTCAGATGACACCAGGTTACAGTCCAACAGGTTTATTTGAAATCACAAGCTTTTGGAGCATTCTCACTTCACCTGATGAAGGGACAGAGAAGCACACAGGCACAGAATTTATAGGCAAAGAGATCAAAAGATCATACAAAGTGGAGTGCCGTCAGGCCGAATAATATCGACACTCCACTTTGTATGATCTTTTTTCTCTTTGCCTATAAATTCTGTGCCTGTGTGCTTCTCTCTCACTTCACCTGACGAAAGGGCAACACTCCGAAAGCCTGTGATTTCAAATTAACATGTTTGACTATGTTCAGGTGTCGTCTGACTTCTGAGCTTTAACAAAAAGCCCTATAGTTGAAAGCTGTGTCACCTAGAGGAAAGCCAAAGCAGCAAGACAGGATAATGCAGAAAGAGCCAAAGACAGAGGGCCAGCTGTTCATGGGCATGTAGCAGAGAAGAATAGTGTAATGGTGCAAGTCCATGATTGGATAACAGGATGCTCAAAACAAGTTAAAGAATTTGTTAAAATAAACACAGGAGATGCACAGCACCTTTAGGCATAGAAACAAAATTATTCAGTAACGTTTACTGACATTCTCCAACATCCACATTATTTTGCTTTTGAGTTGAAATTGAATGCACTGGTGACAGAGAGCCAGAGTACATCATTACAACTGACAATAGACAAGTAGAATTTTGACAAATGACATGCAGCTTATTTTTCCATACACTAGAATTTGTGGAGAAGGCCGTATGACTTGGCTGAGCAAGGATTTCAGCAAAAAAGAGTTATGGTCAGAATTAGGACAGAGACAGAAATAAACAAATTTCATGATGGATACATAGGACCAAAATTGTGATGCATTTTTGCCTGTGATAGTGGCTAAGAAACAGGTGGAGGGGGAGGGGGTGATGGCCATGAAAAATGATTTCACCCTTTCCAATGTTCAACATAAATTATAGCTGCATCTGAAGTAATTAGTCTGACAGTGGTGCCTCTAAAGATGTTGAAGAGTGTTGAGACAGCGCTGAGTACAACATATAGAAGTATTGAAAATTCACAGAACTGCTCATTCTGCCCATTGTGTTGGATCAATTTGAAAAAGAGCTGTCCAGCTAATCGCACATTCCAGCTCTTGATGAGACATTAACCAAACTACTTACAGAAATGAACTGAAGTCATTACATGATATGGACTGATTATCTCTAGATTGCTAGATTAAAACTGCATGGGCAAACCTGAAGAACTGGAGATAGGAAACATTTTGGAGCAAAAGGGATGGTCAACCTTGTCAAAAACTGCAGAGATTGACAGGGGATAACTCAACGTAGTGTGACAATACTATGGCTTTAAGAGATGTATTTTGTCCTTTTTTTTAATGAAGAGAGGTTGAGACAGATGTACAGAGCAGTCTGTTCCAATCAATTAAGTAAACAGCTTGTGAGGCCTTGTGCTTTTATTAAGTTGGAACAATAGAAGCAGCATGAAGGGGTGGGGTCAAGCTCCCACAAATCTAGGATTTTAGTTTAACTTTCAGTAATTGCAGGAATCTTGAAATTGGATGTGGAAGCTTTATTCTTTTATCTGTTACAGCTAAA